AAATTCGTCTCACCATTCTTAGAAGCGCGTGAGGGCAGCCGTCGCGTAAGTTCGTTTTATTGCTGGTACAAATGGTATAAACCGGATAATCGATTTAATAAGTTGTTGGGGGAGTTTTAAAATTAAGTTCGAATGCCAAAACATGCTCATCGCCCCTCTACCGCCCCAAACATGCCCACCGCCCCCCTACCGCCCAAAACAAGTTCACTGCCCCTCAGCATCTTCCCACTGCCCCCCGGGGGGTGGTACCGCCCCCGTTGAGAACCAATGCTCTAGGTGATAATGCTGTCTTGACCCAGACAGACACTACAAAGAAGAAGAAGGGGATCTATTTATTTTTTTCTATGTTCTACCTTTCTAGACCTGGCATCAAACACAGATACATGTTCATATCCTGAGTAAGCAAAAAATATACATTTGTTCTCCCTGCTAAGTGACCTGCATTATTGTTGCCGCTACTCTTTTTATTTTTTATAATATTTAAACTAGGGTCTGCACAGACACCAAGTGAGTAAAAAAAGAACTGCATTGTCTGCTCAACATACTTCATCGGGTTTGGGGTGGAAATGAAAGTGCTCTGTTTCCCACCCTCAGTCCTTCGGAGTTAGGTAGGATAGAAAACAGGTACAACAAAAAATAATACTTAAAATTTTTGGACTCTGTATAGAAAATGATTGTCTAAGACAGCATATTGCTGGAGATGTAATAAGGACAATGCTTCTTTAAAACACATGTTTTTACAATGTCATATACTTACTAAGTTTTGGGAAAAGTACTGAACAATGTAACTGTGCGACAAAAGCTAATTTTTTCAGAGGATAATATTCTCTTGAATTACGTACATACTACATGGAACTTGACAACTGGACAACGTAAATGGATCTCTATGTACTTACTATGGCTAAAAGACTGATATTGCAGCATTGGAAAGATAAATGTATGTGTCAAAAAGTGTGATGCTCAGTTCCCAACGAAAGCAATTTCAAGGATTTTGACAGGATGGCCCCATTCACTCAATGGACTGAAGACCTGATTGCACTTGCCACTTATGAGAGGATTGCCTATAGAGGTAGACTTTGTATGGACAAGTATAACGAAATACAGGACTCATTTATACAAAATACAGTAGGTTAAAAAAATGATAAGTCATATAAATGTATTAGAATACATACTTGAATAATATTTGCATTAGGTAAGTATATATAGAATTGTAGCTGTTAATTGTTATAATGACAATGACATATCATACTGTGTTTTTTTCTTTATTTTTTTCACTTCTTTGCAAAACACTTTTTTTTCCTTTGATGATATATGTGTCTCCATCATTATCATTGTTTTCCTTTTTCCTTTTTCTTTTTGTTATTAATTAAAAAGCTATATAGATATAGATATAGTAGGGTAGAAAACAGATTATGAAATTTATGTATATTTAATAAGAGATAAATAATTGCTCCATTTCAGAATACAGAATCATGACATGACTGGCATTTAATTTCCCAGATTTAAAAACTCAGGGTAAAGTGGTACAGTTGGTTTCTGCATCCAGCTGCAGTCTGGTAGTGATCCCCATATTTTTGCATTGGGGGGCAAAGTTGTAATTTTGAACACAAGCAAAATGGCTGCTGGAGGGTCACGGCCAATCATTAAATGGCTGCCCTCAGGGACATAACTAGTTAAAAAGCAACAAGTTACTAGGATGTAACTTAGCACTCCTTTCGCTCAGCCTAGAGGCGGCTGCTTGCTGTCCCTATTTACTAGGGGAGGCCACTTCCAAGCCAAGCATAGCATTGCATTCATTCATTTTTATTTTCTAAATATAGGGTGATCACATAGCTTTTGCAACATGCCAACTTACCTTAAAAAATTAAAATTGGGAAAGGGGAAATAATTTTGGCAGGCCCAAAGTTATTCTCTGCAAGAGTGCTTGGACCCATTAGCACCATGTTGAGTATCCTAGTGTAGCCTGATTTATAGGCAATCCCCATCCTTGTATTACACCAAATGTTCAAGGTCATATCCTTACACATGGCTTCAAATTGGAATCCACTTTTCCTCCCTCTTCTGATCTTGCACTTCAGCTAACATAGGTCAGCTGCACAGGTTACACATTAACAGCCACCCAGGATGTGCTTTGGTGACAGAAGTGAGCAAATTCACAGGTTAAAGCAAGGGAGACAAATGACAGATCTTAGAGAGGTTGAGGAAGCTGGCAAAAAAAAGGGGGGGGGAATGTAGTTGTCCAGGTATGTTTTTGCTGCTACATCCTATGCATTTAAATATACTTGGATGATGTTCTTTGAAGGGCAGTAAGAGATTTTCCTTGGTAAGACTAGAGGTCTTATAAAGTGACAGCTTTGAAGGAATGAGTTGAAGGGGTCAGAAGCATGAGAGAGAAAGCAGAGGGCAAGGTCCCCTGAGGATCAAAAGGAAATACCCCCTCCTTTGTTGTCAGAGGCCAAGAGTGGAAGTACAGGTAGTCCTCAACTTACGACCACAATTGAGACCAGAACTTTCATAGCTAAGCAATGCGGTTGTTAAGTGAGTCACCCAATTTTATGACCTTTTTTGGTACCATCATTAAGTGACTCACACAGTTGTTAAGTGAATCCAGCTTCCCGCATCGGCTTTGCTTGTCAGAAGTCCCCTGGGAAGGTCACAAATGACGATCATGTGATCCTGGGATGCTGCAACCATCATAAATACATCTGGTTGCCAAGTGCCCGAATTTTGATCATGTGACCACGGGGATGCTGTGATGGTCATAAGTACAAGGACTGGTCGTAATTCACTTTTTTCAGCGCCACCGTAACTTTGAACGGTCATTAAATGGTCATAAGTTGAGGACTATCTGTAGCAATGTCATTTTGATAATAAATTATTGTGTCCCTGGACTTTAAAAGTTCTGAAAGAAAAAAGTGCATTGCATTATTTCATCAGATTTTAATGTACACAGCTCAGGCACAACTATTTTTGCGAAGAGAGGATATCTGGTCATCTTTCACAAACAAGGTTTCCAGTATGGGGCCCATTTGAGTTTGATTTCATTGCACCATTGTTTAATGAACTATGTTTATTCAACTATTGAAATTCAGGTTATGAGTAACAGACAAGAACTGGTAAGACCTGATTCAACTTCTATTCAGTCATGAAGCCAATTAGTGTCCTCAAGCCAATCAGCACTCAGCCTCACTTATAATCTGAATTCCTTGGATGAAGAGAAGGAAGGATTATAAACATATATAAGACATTCAGATTAGATTTAAACTAAGCTAGCTGAAGTCTGGCCTCACTGAAATCTGTGGTCCATCTTAGTGGTAGCTGAAGTTTAGTCCCTTAGAATTAAATGCAATTATTTATATCCTTTGTAGAAAATCCTCTACATCTGACAGTTTTGCTTTTCCTTCAGCTCTCTGAAGCTGAGTTTTGGTGTTCTCACATACCTCTTCAAGGCCACCAAGCTCTGGGTCTTCCTTCTACTCACATATACGCAATTGAAAATACCACATCAGTATCTCTGGGATGACTTCCTGGCTCTCAGTCCTGATCTGTGTGGTGGCCCACTGAAGGAACTCCCAGATTGCACCAGTCAGGAAGTTGCAAGGCATTTTTCCAAATTGTGCCAAGCTGGTTGAGGAAGCTCCTCCATCACTGAAGCAAACAGGGCAGTCTGTAAACTCTTAAACCACCACAGACTCCTAAATTACCACTTGCTTTATGGCTAGTTTTATTCCACAGATAGTGTACTTTCACACAGAAGAAACTGGCTTACTCTGCATGTATGAGTGTGTGTGTGAAAATTGGCTAGATGGGAAATGGAATATCACAATGCAAGCCCTGCCTCTTTCGTACATGCATCAACACATGTATGTTCAAAAGGGACAAGGCTTGGATCATGACGGTACACCTGCCATCTTGTAGATTTTGACTTCTTGCGTGTGTTGCTGAATCTTATCATGCTTGCATAAACAGTAGCAGGAGTTCCTCAAGACAGCCCAATGGGGAAATCCATAGTTTGTAGATGGGATGTTTTGGAGTGACCTTCTCTTTAGCAGGCAGCTGATGCCTGCTGTTGGTCTCAGGCCAGTGGGTAACTCAGCTGACGCAGAACAATGGCAGAGAATCTGAACAGCCTATGGCTGCTTGTAGGCAAGAAACGGAGATTATGGCTAAGGGAAGCCTGTTGCCCTGCAAGGAAGATTCTGGTAATTTGGAAAGATGTCAGTATTTCAGGTACTTCTCCTACCAAGAGACCAGGAACCAGAGATCTAAACATATCTGAGAGCAATTCTTAACCATTTAGCCTAAGGAAATCCAAAGCCACTTTCAGGAACCTGGCCCAGAGAGCCAGGCAGAGAGTTTCCTGCTAAGGCTGAAGGAAGGCAAGAGACTGGAAGAGCAGATAACAATGTTTACACTAGTATGTCATAATCCTGAGAACTTCTGAGGCAACAAAGGAACATGTATTGAGAAGTAGTATCTTCTTTAAGAATTCTATGCCCTTACCTAGCAGTCGGCCCCCCTGAAGGTTTAATTTATGCCTGACATGTAGAATTGGGAGGGCAGAATATCAGAGGAATTGTCCAGCAGGGGACTGTGGTAGTGGGTAGTCCAGACTGAGTCCCCGGCAAGCTGCCTCTGATGTTTCCCGATCCAGACAGAATTTCTTGAAGCCATTTTAGAACCAGTTGGCATCAGGAGAGGGCAGAAACTTTGATCAGTAGTTTTGATCAGGGTCACCAAAGGAAACAAACCCACAGGTGCAGATGTCACCTAGTCACGAATCCTACAGGAAATGACATGTTTGCCTCTAATCTTTTTAGGAAACCTGTTGCTAACCCTAAAATTAATGATTAACAGCCCTGAAGAAGTCATTTTCAGTAAACCATATCCCTGAACTTGTCTGCATTGATCCTAGGTCATTAGTAACCCTTTTTTAAAAAAAAATGTTTTGAAATGCACTATCTGAAATGAACATAGCAATCAGCACCACCCTCACCCATTTTGGGGTATTTTCGAAGCAAATGAAACCCAAATGTTTTAAAGCTGTTTGACTTTTGAAATCTATATTTCTGTGGTGTTTTAAATGCAATGCTTTCAATGAACATAGCAATCACAGCAACACATGTAGAACAGGAGTGGGGCTTTGTGTTGTCCAAGCTGCTATCTTGACTTTTTGACTCTGCTATGAATGTCCCTGCTTGAATGAATTGTAAAATGAATGTTTGTAAGAGTTCAGTTCATATCGTGGCCAAAAACCAAAACAAACAGAAGACCCTTTTCCTGGCAATTCTCAATCAGGAAGAAAAAGAAAACAAGGGATTCAGGGAAGGGAAGGACTCAGGGAAAGGAGGGCAGCCGAAAGAGAGAGAGAAAGAGAGAGAGAAATGGTGTCAGAGAGGAAAAGAGGGTGTCCCTGTTTACCACAATCAGCTTTGCATTTCCAGACTTTGGGCTCTGGATCTAATGGGTTTATGGAGGCTTTATTTTGTAACCAATGTTCCTCTGGGAGGGGAGTGTTTTGATGGCCAGTTGGTATTGTTTGAAGAATTTCAACATCTAAAAGCCAGTTTGCCTATGTTTGAGGACACTTCCTACTCCTGCTGCTGCTGTAGAGAGAACAAAGAGAGGCTAGCAACTGTGCTAAAATCCTGAATGCCAATTCCTCTGCTGATGAAAGACACACTCCCTTCTCCAACCCCACCCCTCTTATTAGCCCAAGAAAGAACTATGATAGAATTATATTACAGAGACCTTGGATTTCTGTTCTAAAATCTGTCTTGCTCTGAACCCATTTCTACTGAGTTGTATTTCAGTAGATCTCCTGAAAGGCTATTCTCTGAGACCCAAAAGAAAAAAAGCCATCTCCCCAGCAACAAACTTCAAATTTCTAATCATTTTAAGGCAGCTCGAACATGTTAGATTCAGTGGAAGGAATTAAATGGAAGAAGAGGCAGAGAATTAGGAGAAAAAGGTTAGAGAACTAATCAGGAGTCTAGTTTGACTAGAAGGAGGGGTTACTTTTTAGGAACTGGAACAACACTTTTTAGTACATTAAAATTCAGTAGCACCTTTTGGAGGGGCTACAGTCAAATTTTGGGGACCACTGGATTGTACACTGCTTTTCTGAGACATAAACCTTTGAATCATTAAAGACGATTTCATCAGCGACATTACGTCTTAATTATAGCTTCTTTCCTATTATAAAAAAACATTCATTACAAGATAGCCAGTAAGTTTCAAATTAAAATTCCTAGTTTCACTTTTGTATTCTTCAAATGGATGGAAGGAACATGCCCATTGTCTTCCTTCAAGCCTGTGTCTGTATGTCCTGTTGGGTGAGGTCTTCTTTGCCCTCCCACACCTTCTTTCTTAACTAGAATATTGACAGCTTATTGATGGGCAGCTCCCCCTTTTTCTTTGATTTTATGTTTATTGGTTTCCCCCAATCATGTATTCTTCTTATACAACAAGAAATCTTAGTTGTACAGATTGTTCCCAGTAGAAATGCTCACAATGAAGTTACAAGACAAATATTTTCATAGTTTAGCTTTAAATATAAAATTCAATTCATCTGGATCAACACAAGCATTTCCCCCAGTTAAACCATTTTCCCATTAGACCAGTGGTCAATTTACCAAAGGTTAAAATAGGCAAGATTATAAAAGGGAGTGAAGTTTCAGATAGACATACATAGGATGGAAAAGAAATTCCATACAGATTTTAAGGGGCACAAATGGTACTATTTGCTAAAATGGCCTCTGGTGTAGCCTATATGCATTTGTCTTTCCCTACTGAAAAAAAATTGCACAAAAAAAATGAATATTTGGAAAAGATATATTTAAAAATGCCCATTTTGAGGGTAGGAAAATACAATCTCCCTGAAGCTGAACTTGGCTTCTGATGATTACATGGATATGTCCATGCTGTTTCCTTAACAGTAATACTGAAATGGTTTTTTATTGCTGTCTTCAGGAATGTTCCCAGTTTAGCCTACATCATTGATATTTCCTGGTGGTTTCTCATCCAGTAGTAAGCTGATCTTACTCTTAGCTTTTTTTGAGATCAGCTAAGGCTAGCTGGATTCTGCCACTTAGCTAGCTGATGTAATTGGGGTAGTTGTATATAAAAAAGTATTTGCCAATATTTATAATTTAGAAAAATATACCCAAACAACTTGTTTAAAAAGGGAATTTTGAGGAAGTTATAAACAACGAATGTACCTTGTCCAGCATTCAAAAAATGCAAAGAAATTTTTGATAGAAAATATAATAACTTGTGAACACCCTTAATACCAAGATGGACCTATTTCAGATTGATCTGTTTATCCTAATATGCTTCACAGATTGTCCAAACCTAAAAGCTAAGTCAGTTCAGCTCTGCTTATATTTTGATCAGGGTCTGCAGGAAGATTGATTCAAGTGTGTGAGATAGGACTTGTCTAGCCCTTATACAAGGTCTGTACTTTCTAATATTTTTCACATGGAGAGGCACTTCCATCCTGTGTGAATGTTGGCTTTTTTTAATAATTGTATTAGAGCTGCAGAAGGAAGCATGATTTCTAGGTCTTACTTTTTAGTATGCAGCAAGTGTGATCTGTGATGGTTCTAGTAGGGATATTAGATCAAGGGTTGTTGCCTATAATGAACAATAATAGTTTGAAAGCAATTTCCCAGAGCTCCATCTTATAAAAAACATTAGCATTATGGATATCCCTAAGTACTTCCATTTTGTTGTCTTCAGTCCTTGCCTAATTAGTTCAATTTCTGGGGTAGTGGGGATAGTTGTATGATCCCAGGGATGCCAGCAAAAAAAGTTCAAATCTCTAGACATTCATGCTAACAACACAAGAACTGATGACATGGTTATGGCCTCCTGTGAATGGATCATAGAATGACCTATTTTCTGACAGATGCTTCTGTATCCCTAGCACTTAAGCTGTTGTCCCTTCCCAGTCTATCAATCAGTGCTGCTTGTTGAAGGATCAGAGGGGGCTTTCACGAGGCAGATGGTGTCACCTTCAGGATCCTCCTCAGAAGTGATTTGTTCTCTTCCCCGACTATACATCTCTCGAAGACCGTTAACCATATTTGACCCAACACTGATGTTTTCCATGAAGGGTTCTACAAGAACAAAGAAACGTGTTACACCCACCTCCTTGTATTCTATTTCTATTGGATTTTTTTTTTGTTCCACTTGTTTCTTCACACCTTTAGTACTGAACCTTAAGGATGTTCCCCATTGCCATTTTTTCAAGAACAAATTTTATTAAGAAATGTTGTTATATTGTTCCCATACCTCTGTGGAAGAGTGTCTAAGAATGAGAATGGCTGCAAAACATGCACAATGGTTTTGCACAATATTATAAAAGCTCCTTCAGTATCTTGGAGAAGAGTCTTTCAAAAATCCATCATGGTCTGATCCATAGAGTGAGTACTATGACTATATCTTCCAAAATGGTCATTGTCCCAAATCATCAACATGGACAGAAAACTAAAGTGGAGCAAGTGTTCTGGGTCCTGTGGCATACTCTCACTTTGTAGAGTTGCTTGAGATTGATTGCAGATCAAATACAGTATATCAATTCACAAGTTTTATTCTTGTTGCACCCACCCATTCTGCCTTGCCCTTGAACTCTTTATATCTGATAGTGTTATGATTTTCATTCTGGCCATTGGGCAAAAACTATTATATTTTTGCATCTAGAATCAGATTCAGACATGACAGAACAAAGAAACAGATGTCATCTTCTGAAACTGTGAATCTTAAAGCAGTCTGTTGCACAGGGAGAGATGGATGACCTATGAATGAGCTTTTTTCTGGTCTCCATTCTGTGCATTACCTTCCAGAAGGGTCAGCAATCCAAGCTGGAAGACATGAGTCCCTAACCCACAGTTTATAAAGCCTTTTCCCCTAGAATTCCTTTGATTGTATAGAGAGGCTCAGAAACAAAGCAAGATGGGGCCAATTTGTTAGTACTTGGATGGGACTCCACCAAAGAGTTCCAGGACTATGGGCTCAAGTGGGAAGTAAAAAAAGCACCTCAGAAGACAATGGCCATCTGCTTCCATATTGCTTCAAAGAAAACTTAAAGGATGTGCCTGTATTTTCAGCAGGAGTCAAGTACAACTTGACTATACATGTGCAAATAAGGTGGTTAAGTAATGATCCAATTAAATATTTTTACAAAGGGAAAAAAAAAAGAATCTGTTATTGTGGTGGTTGAGAATAACCTGGACTACAACTTGGATTTAAGGCAATGTAGAATTCTTATTCCAATAATTATTTGTAACATAGAGAAAATGCAAAAACGCTAGTATGTGCTTTACCAGATAGAAATCTGGATCCCTCCCTCCCTCCCTCCCTCCC